CTCTGCTTCTCTGCTCCTCTCTATGTCCTGCTCCTCTCTGCTCCTCTTTGCTTCTCTGCTATTCTCTGCTATTCTCTGCTCCTGTCTGCTCCTCTCTATGTCTCTGCTCCTCTTTGTGTCTCTGCTCCTCCCTGCTCCTGTCTGCTCCTCTCTGTGTCTCTGCTCCTCTCTGCTCCTCTGCTCCTCTATGCTCCTCTTTGCTTCTCTGCTCCTCTCTATGTCCCTGCTCCTCTTTGTGTCTCTGCTGCTGTCTGCTCCTGTCTGTCTCTGCTCCTCTTTATGTCCCTGCTCCTCTTTGGTTCTCTGCTCCTCTCTGCTCCTCTTTGGTTCTCTGCTCCTCTCTGCTCCTCTTTGCTTCTCTGCTCTTCTCTGCTCCTGTCTGCTCCTCTCTATGTCTCCGCTCCTCTTTGTGTCTCTGCTCCTCTCTATGTCTCTGCTCCTCTTTGTGTCTCTGCTCCTCCCTGTGTCTCTGCTCCTGTCTGCTCCTCCCCGTGTCTCTGCTCCTCTCTGCTCCTCCTGACTCTGACCTCCTTGTCTCCAGGCCGAGACGTCTGCGGTGGAGAAACTGTCCCGGCTGGTTCCCTGCCAACACGAGGAGCTGCTGAGCACCTCCTTGCGCCTCCTGCTCAACCTGTCCTTCGACTCGTCCCTGCGCAGCCACATGGTCCGGGCCGGTCTGGTTCCCAAGCTCTCGTCTCTGCTCGGTGAGCAGTTTGTGACTTTCTGCCCCCCTCCCCCTTAAACCAGGACGGGTGTGCGTTTGTGCGTGAGCTCCTCTGCAGGTTGAGGGACGGTCAGCAGCATCCCTGACGGGGGCTTTGAAGCCTCTCGGGGGGCTCGGGTAACAGACCATAATGAATATAATGTATTTGTTAGAATAACATGCCAGAGCCTCGGCACAAATGTTGTTTTAGTTGGAGCCGAGCGGAGCAGTGGAGGGGTCTTGAGAGGTTTGGGCAGTGGGAAGTGGCGGGGGGGGGGGGGGGGGTCGCTCACTCAGGAAGCGAGGCGTGCACGCATAATATAAGTTAACGCTGAAATATGGCGCCTGCTCACAGCTCTGACACTGTTGGCTTTCTGTGCGTGCACGTGAGCTCGGCCGTCATCAATCATCCCCTCGTTCTGCCGGCGGCTCGTTCCACGCCGCACCGAGGCCCGGCTGGTGTCTCTGAAGACAGGGGAGTCCGGAGCCGCCATCCAGACCCGACCTCAGGTCCTGACGCCTGATCAGATCAAAGGGCAGCCTCTCTGCTCCTCTTCCTCGCCTCCTGTCTCATTCCAACCAACTAAAACTGAACGTCAAAAAAAAAAATCGTCTTTTCTCTGAAACTCACAGAAATCTGCTCAAACTGTCGCTCAGCTCGAGTTATCAGTGTCCTGCTGCACTTTGATTGACAGCCTGCTCGCAAACCAGGAGGGTGTGTAAGCGGGACTGTCTCTGGCTCCAACATGGCCGCACCCAAAACCCGAACACACGGACTTCGATTTTCAAGAAGAAGAAGAAGAACAAGTCTTCGTCTGTCACGATGAGCCTTTCTGATGATGAGGATCCCGAATGATGAAGAGATCCAGGTGGGACAGCTAACATGTCCCTAAGGTGTCCAACATGGTCCCCGTTGGACTTTTATAAAACTTGAGTTTACCACAAACCCGCTCGTCGGCTGAAAGTGTCGCTCGAAGCGACTTTCTGCTGATGGAGTGAGCTCATGCAGCTGTGGGAACTCCTGCAGCTCGTTAGGAAGAGCCGTGTCTCTAATTAACGCCCAAACTGCAGTCACACGCTAACAGGCCCTTCTTCATGTGCACGGCTCATTTCACGAAGCTGGTGCGGTTCTGAAACCCGTCTGGGCGGACCTGGACTTCAGCTCGGCCTCTCCTGCACCTCTTGTTCTGCTGTTTGGACCTTTAACGGGATCAGTGGTGTGTTCCTGCTTCTCTGTGGGTGTGGGGGCTCTAGCTGAGCTAATGAGAAGCACGTGTTCTGGTCAGTGGCCGGTGGTTCTGGACGGCCCGGCTCGGTGAGCTGAGAGGCTTTAACTTGTTAAAACCAGTGAAACTGATTCTTCCTCCTGTTTTCATAATTAAAGCTCCAGGAGAACGGGCCTGTCCTCGCCGCTCCATCCCTCCTGTGAGTCCAGAGGTTCACTGATCACATCTGGATCTGATTCTCAGCCACAAGGCTCCCTGTACCCAACAGGGCCCGGACCGGTTTTAACTGGGCCAGGCTCGGTGGTTCTGGTCCAGTAAAGAGCATCTCTGTTAACACTTCCTCTAATGAAAACTCCCCGGTCAAACTCCGGTTTGAACTCCATTAATTCTCCTTAGCCCCGCCCCCTCCAGTGAGGGTTAGAGGTCAAACTCATAAAGGCGCCGGGCTCAGAACCGGTCCAACACCCGATCCGTCTTCATCTGCGCCCCGCTGCAGCCGAGCTTTGATGTGAACGCTCCGCAGAGAGCAGGACTGACGGTTCATTTAACCATGATCTGCGTTTCCACGGCAACAACTAATCACATGAACTCGTGTCGCGCACATGAAAATATTTATCGGTAAAATGGATAAAAGTCGACTCCGTTTCTCCTGCAGACATCCTGTTGTTCAGATCTTTTTAAAACCTCCAGTGAAATGAAACGTTTTAACCGTTCGACGTCTGGTCAGGTCCCAGTCCGAACGTCTCACTTCCTGCAGAACCTTCAGAACCTTCGAAGGTTCTTCAGAACGGCAGAGAAGAAGAACTCTGGTCGGCTGGACGGAACAAGAAGAAACTTTTGGGTGTTTGAGCTTCAGCTCCAGATTGAAGCTTCTGATTTTGAACGTGAGAAGATTTAAATAGTTTGAAATGTTATGGAGGCGCAGGAACTCTTTACACACTGAGTCTGAAGTCATTGCTCCCTTTGAGCAGCGTGGCTCCCGCTCCTCCTCGGCCTGTTTTAGCTCCTGCTCCCTGACGAACTGCAGCCTCCTGCTCCTGCTTCTCCTCCCAGAGCTGGTTGACCTCTGACATCCGGCGCTTTTAAAAAGGCCATTCAGCCCATTAATATTTCTCTCAAACCCGCAGCCCTCCTAGATGTGGTCGTTGGCGTCCTGCGGAGCGTTACGGGACAACCACTCATTCATGCTTTAATCCCCCCGTGTGTTTATGTTGCAGCTGACGAGGCCCAGAGACGGCTCAGCATGTGCGTCCTGTACCACATCAGCGTGGACGACACGTCCAGGTCCATGTTTGCTCACGCGGACTGCGCACCGCAGGTAAGACTGGCCAACGTCCTCGGCCCGCAGAACCCATCAGAACCACACACATCTGGAACCGAACGTTCCTGTTCAACATCCTCTCTGCGCTGCAGGTTCTGACTTCTCTCCGTGTGCGGCTGTTAGCAAAATATTTCAGTAACCGCTGACGTGTGTTGATGAAGCTCCGAGTGATTTGTTTTGGAATCATTTGTGAACAAAGACCAGAAGGTTTGTCAGAACCATCAGAACCAACTGGATGTTCTGCTGCTGTCTAATAAAAACCTCTGAACTGTCACAAATATGTAGATTACAGTTTACACACGTCCCAGTTAGTTAAAGATCAAAGGATCGTTATAGAGATTAGGACATTACTGTTTGATAAAACAAAACAAAGTTACTCATTAATTTGCTCTGAGGTCTGTTGTTCGTGTTTAGAAGCAGTTTGCAGGCAGGACTCGGAGAACTCGGGACTTAAAGTAGATACTTACCGTATTTTCTGCCGTTGCCCCACCGTATAAGTTGCATCAGTCCAGATGTGTCTAATAAACTGGAAAAAAAACATAAATGTGTCGCTTCGCCGTATAAGTCGCATCTATTATGAGTCACCGCTGACAACCTGGAAACGTGGGCCGGTGTTGTGCCAAAAATCGATTGGCTGCCAAATGGCGGCCGTGGGAGCGTGCACGGGAGGACTTTATCAAGAATTTAACAAGATTAACACTTAAAAACAATTATTTGTTTGCTCGACATTTTAGTAAATATGTGTCTCAGTTGAAGTTTTTCTTAATAAATGCACTTTGACGGTCACATCAGCTGCATTTCTCCTGGACGTCGCGATGAACTGCAGCTGATTTGGCGTTTGATCCACAAGTTCTGGCTCGAGATGAAGGTGGCTCTGTATGGCAAGCCAAGCGCCTCATTAATAGCCACTTTTACCTATTAATGAGACACTTGGCTTGCCATATTAGTTGAACGCCCTCTAGTGTCTGAACATGGTAGTGTTCAATATTTTCCATGTCAGAATGAATGAAATCATCAGATCTCGGGACAAAAATTGTTTTATAAATAAGGAAAAAAACATAAATAAGTCGCAGGACTTGCAAATTTATGCAAAAAGGTGCAACTTATATGACAAAATATACGGTATATGTTTAATAAAGAAAACGGAAAGCTGCCGTGCAGCAAACCAACCTGAACTCGGGGAGACACGGAGCGAGGCAGAAACAGGATAAACACAGAGACCAGACGTATAAAGGAACGCTAACAGAGACACACCTGGGGGGGGACAACAGGTGGTGGGGGCAGGAGCTGATTACACGAGGGAGAACATGAGCAGAGCAGGACAGAGGACACAAGTCTTCACCAGGTCAGTCATTCTGTACAACATGGAGTCGTTGCAATCCAAGATGGCTGCCACAGCTAACAAAGCAGGTGTTTTTCCTGGCGTTGATGCCTCGTGCGCAGTAGTAGGTGACGTGCATGTGGCCTTCAGTTGCTTGTTGTGTTTGTGGGTCTGGGTTCTGATGGTGCCGACCCGGTCAGCGGCGGCTGCTCCTTTGGGTCGGGTGTAAATGTGGACCAGATGTGTCTGCGAGGTTCTGTTTGTGCTGGAGCCCGGGTCCACACAGAACCTCAGGGTCGTCCAGCAGCATGACCAGGATGTGACCTTTGACCTCGCCCCGAGCGCCCCCCCCCCCCCCCCCCCCATATCCATCTAGCTGAGCCACTTAAAGAGATTGTTGCTGCCATCGTTTACATTTATTTATTATTCATTATTCGCTTTTTAATCTTAGTTCGATCTAATCTCGTTCAGTCTGCCTTTAAAACCAGAGTGAGATTATTTAGTCATTTTTAACACGCGGACCCTGAACGCCTCTCACCAGGCTGCATCAGCTGAGTCAGCGTTTAGTTTCTTCCATTAGTTTATTTTGTATCATACTTTCAGCTGTTTCAGCCTTTAGCTGTCAAAGGTTCGGCTCATTCTGCAGCTTTAACTTCTGGATTTGATCACTTTGTACTTTTTGGATTATTTAACTTTAAATCTGTTTCACGCTTTGAGGACTTTTTTAAAAGTCCCTGAACTTTGTGCTCTTTCTTTAGCATTTTGCTTCATTTGCAGCTTTCTGCTGCTGTTTGGCTAATCTTAGCATTTAGCTACTGTTGTGATGGCTGTAGCTTTGGTTTTAGTTTGGGTCCGGACTGTGTGAACGACTGTTTCAAACAGCGCTCGCTCTGTTTGAAATGTTTCCAGTTTCTTTGATGTTTGTAGAAATAAAAAGAGCTGAAACACAAAATCAGAAAATTAGCCTGAAAATAACTGAAGTCGATTTATGACTTTTTCTTTTCTGGTCTTTGTCTCATTGGTCCCCGTCTGTTTATTAAAAACTGTTTTGTTTTTTAACACCCCCCCCCC